GGTGGATTGGCTGTTGCTACTGCATTATTCATTCGTGATGTTGGTTTACCATTGCCATCAGGACTTGTTTTATGGGTGTGTTTATTAATACAGTATTATGATTATTACAAGGTTTTTATGCTTAACTAATTCCATTCTTAATAATAATAAATTCAAAAAAGTCACCATGGGTAGATTTAATGAATAGCATGCCATCTTATTGGAAAATTGAAATGGACAAAACTGACTTTATAGTTCGTACGCTAAGTATTTATAAACTCGGTCCACCAACCTCTATTTCAATTAAATATCTTGAACGTGTAAAAATTCTTTCGGAAAAAATTAAACAAAAAAAACCAAAAGTAGTCGGACACCCTTCTTTTAATACAGTTCCAAGATTTAATTTATATTGCGCAAATGAAGCTTTGGCCATTCCATATGTTAGTCCAATGTTAGCTGAAAGTTTGGGAAATCTACCACCTATTTTATGTGTAAGTAATTGAATCATCATATTTATTCATTATTAATTTTGTATTAGTCATCTCAATCATATGCTTTACATTTACTGATAAAATAGCAAGTAGGTGGTGGAGAAAGATTTCTGGATTCAAATATTTTATTAAGTTTCAGAGCTTCTGATCCGAGTAAATTTCAATTACCTAAATATGCTACAATGAATTTTGCTAATTCACCATTCAAAAAGCCTACCGATGTCATACTTGAAGTTTATGAAGGAGCGTGTCATTGTTTTCAAGATGTAAGTTTTATTTGACATCAAGAAAAAATTTCATATATTTTTATATATTCATATATACTTTATATACTTTATATTATAATGTTAATAGAGAGCTCCTAATGAAAAAATTTCAAAGTTCTCAATAAAACGTTCTTGCGATTTTATCAAGAATCATACACTTAATGAAAGTATTCCAAATGAAGCTGAGAATAAATCTTTTCAGGGTATTCAAAAAACTATTAATACTATTGCAATTAACCCAAATTGTGATATTAGAGAGTTAGATGAAAAATTTCTAGAATGTCTAAACTGGGAAAATATTGGTGTTGTCCCAGAATTAGAAGTTGACATGTAAACAAATATTATTTTTTATTATGTTTAAACAAGTCTCAAAGATATATATTAAGGAAGTTTGAATTATATTATTTATATATTTTATATATCAAGAGAACTTAATTAAGATAATTTATAAAGACTAAAACTGTGATAACTTGTATTTTACAAATTAAGTACAAAATGCTTAAATTTTTCAATTAAATTAATTCATAAATTTATTTTTTAGTTTTGTAATAATGATAATTCAGATACATCACCGGAGATTGTATCCATATAAAGGTTACCCAGTGATATCTATAATTGGATCATAGCTATTGCTACCCGGGTAGCCCAAATTAATTATTTTTTGTAAATACTAACGCTAACTAGTGATTTGAACCAATTGGGCTCTAATCGGGTAACCGAACTGAACCGAACGAACTCGATTAACCGGTTGAGTAAGTTCTTAATCGGTTAACCCGATGAAACTGATTGTCTATCAGCTACCCGGTTAAGGCCACCCAAATTGATTCTTCGTTTATCATAACAATAAATAGTTCATAAGAGTGGGGAGAGAGTATAAAAATACATAAATTAAAAAAAAATACTGCAATTCTATTAGCTGCAAAAAATATAAAAAATATAAAAAGTTAATACTGCAATTTGATTGGTTAATTGAAGTGCATTTTTTATAAAATTTTTAAAAATTGAGGGGTGTGAATTATGTTAAACAAAGAATTACATTGGCCTGGCCTAACTGGTTATTAAAATCAAGATCAATATGTATGATGGATAAAGCAAGAATTTAGTGTGATTTTTTGATCTGTAATTTGGATTATCTGTTTAAAACTAGTATTTTTGTGCAATTTGTATTATTCGAATAATGTGAATAACTATATCATTATGATGCAAGAGGAATTGAAATTGAAAAGGAGCGCTTGAATATCTTCAAAAGCTACTAATTTAGAATTTTTGGCATGTTAAATGGCATAATTCGACCAGTGTTTGATTCGATTTGGTTAACCCGGTTGATATTTTTTAGGTCTGGTTGACCAGTTAAGCCGGATACCTAGAGATATGTCCCGCGCGAGGTAAAACTAGCATACATTCCACAAATCATATGACTTCGCGCAAAGTGCGAGGTGGCGTCATCCAAGGCAATTTTGAGTTCGCGAGGTATGATGTAATAATTTGTGTGAAGATAATTTCATTATATTTTGTGAGGTACATCTCAAGGTCAACCGTGCTAACCGAAATAATTCCGGTTACAGCTGTTTTCATAATTCCTGGGACACCTGATAAAAATTAGCCGAATGATTTTCGACCGATCCGGATAAATTATTATTTCGGCATAAGTTAAAATCTAAGATTACACGAACTATAATAATAGCCAATCAAAATCATAGATTATCTAGACATAATTATACTATTTTTGGGTAATAAAATTAAGCATTTTGATTGGTCTTAGGTGGGAGAGTAAATGGATATTATGTCATGGCTAGAGCCGCGAAATGCTGATGACATTCAATTGATTCTCGCGCGAGATAATATAAGAATTTATTATGACATACAATCTGAGATGGAGGTTGGGACATCTTATAACAATTTGGAGGGCTATATACCGATTTAGATATACACAAAAAGGTAATTTTTCGTATATTTATACGTATATGTTATTGGTTATGTCCATTTCGAGGATAATAACTGATTTATTCCCAGGTTCTATTATACCTCTATACTATTTCTTCAAAGTAAAATCACGTATTTCATAATGTCTAGCTTACTACAGATCACAAAACCTCTTTCGTTTTTTTTTTCGTTTATTTTTTATTTTTTTTTTTTAGCCAGCAACTTTTACTCTTTTTAGTAACTCTAATAGTTTAAAATAGTTTAAAATTTTCGTATATCATTAAAAAAAGATATACAATCAAAAAGAATTATAAAAATTCCGGATCAGTCCGAATCTGAAATCCGAGAAGGAATAGTATAGAAGTATAAATGAGTGTCACCAAGCGAAAATCTGCAATTTCGATTTTTGCCGGCTCCGCTTTCTGATCCGATTTCTGATAAATTTAAATTAAGCACGACATATATTATATGGTGTGTTAAATCACATTTTTTCGGGGTTTGATCTGTAAAATTAATTTCGAAAAACTCACAATTCCCGGTTTTTGCTTGGCGACGCTCAAATAAGAACCGGGAAAAAATATTTTTATTTTATAAATTTATTAACAATTTTAATTCCATAAATTTCAAAATTTCAAAACTCGCGAAGAAAGTAATGAACAAATTTCATTTTACGAATGTCTCAGTATACACCAAGTCTTAGTTTTTCAGTTGAAACTGCTTATGACAGAAGAACACTATCACGACGCTATGGCTGGAGTTTTTCAGGATTGCGTGCTCATTTTTTGTTCGAGGAAGATGTTTCACCATAGAAGGTGCATTGTATATTAATGGTCTTTTATCGTATTGTATTCAAGAAGGTTTCTATGTATTCTATTGATTATGAAAATTTTATTGAACATGTTTTAGTAAGAATTATTACGTATTGATATTGATATGCTGAAATCGGACCAACGATGTGATTTAATTTGTGACGTAGATATGATAGATTATGTATATCAATATTAAAAAATTGGACCTGATTCAAAATATATTTTTTACATGTCGAAATCAATAACTTAATCAGATCGGCCGAAAACCAAAAAATCATTCGGCTAATTTTTATAAGGTGTCCCAGGAATTATGAAAACAGCTATAACAACCCTCAAAATCCGTAGCACGAACACGAAAGGGCTTTTTTAGAAGTAATAATGTTAGCCCTTGTCATATTTCGCATTCTAAAAAACGTAATGTGACATATTATTATCCAAAACAGTCATAGGATATGTCCACTACTTATTATTCAAATGAGAACACATAAAAATTTTATAAGTAAAAATTTTGATTTAGGGCGTTCTCAAGCACCCACCTCAATGAATTCAATAAAAAATCTGATTGGCTAGTTTGATTAGACTGACCAATCTGATTCGTTATTGAGTCCATTGAGGTAGGTGTATACATGCCGTAGAAATTAGTTTCGGCTGTGCCGAAAGTATTTAGGCACCGATCTTTCGACAAAAATAAAGCCGCAAGTTATAATTTATGCCGCAATCCGAAACAAAAGCCGCAATCCGAAATAAAAGCTGAAATCCAAAATACATGCCATAATCTAAATTAATTGCCGCAATTTGTCTTATAATAATTTATATCTACTATATTATATAATTTATATGTAACAATTATTAATTATACTTCGCATATTATTTGAAAAGGTTGTATCGATACCAGAATTTGCATCTGACGTATTCAAATTATGAATTATATTATAGAATATTATATAAATTTATCATTATATACTTATATGTACAGTAATAAAAAAGCAATTTATATTTATTTCTTATTTATTATATATTACGAAATACATTTACTTATTTAGCAATGCGCAAATCACTAAGTTATTCACCAAAGCGACAATTTAATAATGCTCAGATCCCTGTTATCTCAATTTATCAATGCTTAATAAACATCTAAGTTATCCACCAAAGCGACAATTTAATAATGCACAGATCCCTGTTATCCACCAAAGCGTCAATTTAACAATGCATAATAAACATCTACCAAAGCATTAACATCGAATTCTATATTACCATGATCTTCTTCAAATTTGGTTTCAACAAATTTAGAATTATTGCCATCTAGAGGCTGTACTATGAATTCGATGAATTTAAATCCATTGTATTACCAATAATTAGCAATTTATCTTCGATTGAA